TATATATATATGTATATATGTAAACATGTATATGTTTACACATATATATGTATATATGTGTGTATATATATATATGTATATATGTAAACATGTATATGTTTACACACCTGCTACAGAAGGATGTGAAACTGTTTTGGGCAGAACAAGCAGATTGAAAGACGGGGTCACAAGCATGACCAAGGCATTTACAGTCAGCCAACTTTTTGTAATTACCGTCCTCCTTATGCCACCACCAATGTCATTAAGTGTCATTAGGATTAACTTGGTTCCCTAGGTCTTTCTGATTAATTGAATTACCCAATTAAGCAGGCCACAATTAAAAGGAAGATACTGTCATAAAAGCCTTAATTGTCTTACTTTTTTCCTGTTGAGCAGTTCTGAGTGTTCAATACCCCATTAAGAAACCCATCATCCACTTTCCTCAGCAGTGGGGGTTGGGTTTTTTCTCTTTTTTTTTGGTAACATTAGCATCCATTTGCTGTGAGCTTCATTTCAGACAGCTCCAGCACTGAGTGGGCATTTTGTTTTGCAAAGCCCATGCACAAGTTTACTTTGCAGAGCTATAGACCAGAGTAGGTGGTTTTTAGCAGATGGAGTTTTTCATGGAAGGTGACTGGTAACGAAAAAAAGAAACAAACCCTGCACAATATTTTGTTACTGTGTAAAGAAAAGCCAGATTCTGCAAATACTTGGCCACATGCTTTGCTTTAACTGTATAGACAGTGCCAATCTTCATTTGGATGAATATATTTTTGCATATTGGTGACGCTGCAGTGACAGCTAGTTTCTATCTTCGTCTCCACACTAGTGCTGCTACAAATGTCAAGTGTCTGTCCCCCAGAAATCTAGGCAGGAAACAAACCCCAAATAAGAATTGCTTCATGACCCACAGGAGCTATTTGTGGTGCAGAGCTGTTCGTGGTCCCCTCAGCAGTGCAGTCACACCAGTATTGCCCCAGCATGAGGGAGGAGATGCAATGGGAAGAGCAAGCAGTGACAGAGAGCAGAGGCTGCCAGTGCTGGCTCCAAGATGCGTGAAACATCGTCATGATCTGAGCTCCTGGCTTTGCTGAAAAAACCTGTGGGACAAGGGACCTGGTGGTACCAGAGCAATTGATATGGCTTTGGCCAGCAATCTGGGCCTGCTGAGGGCACACTCTTTGTTGGGTACATGCAAAAACAAAGACCACATTTTCTACTATTTTATTATTTCAACAAAATCTAAATTATTTCAGCTGGAACATAATATTACCATTTTAGAAATAAAAACTCCAAAAGAAAACGAACACCTTTTCCCTCCAGCTGAGGGCTCAGGAAATTGTCATCAGGTCTTTGAACAGTCAGGAAAAATGTAAATGAAAGTGTGGTAGCTTTATTTTTAAAATGCAAGATGTACAACCGGGCCCTCTTTACACAGCAGGTCCAAGTATTCTCCTTTACATATCACATCCCTCCTTATTAAAAATGGATACTGTCTCTAAATTTTGAGGGGGAAAGAAGTTTAAAAAATGTTTAAGGTGGGATTGAAAACTGGCCTGAAGGAATTTCCTTGCTGGGTTATTAAAAACACGTAGTCACGGGGACTAAAAGCATTATTTCTTCAGAATGAATATATTTCAATCTAATGCTCCAGGTACTGAACACCTGATGAATGCAGTCAGATCACAGCAGCACTGAAGTGGTCCTGGGTCTCAGCTGGCCAGATGCTGCAGACACAGCTTATCACAGCAGAAAGCAGCCAGTGCTGGCACTGCCAGGCTTTTGGACCTCACTCAGGATAAGGCACAGACAGATGCAGCAGCTGCATTTCAGGTTAAGAGAGGCTGCATGGCAGCAACAGCTCTGTGCCTGCAAGACATACTGCAACCTGTGGGCCAAATGCAACTCGTACTGGGCTCCTGAGGCTGTTTTGGTGAATTGGATACAATTAATTTCTGTATCAAATGAATTGTACATCACAGTCTTAACAAGCAATTTCAGAGACCCATAAGGCCACACTTTAAGGAATGGATTAGGAGAGCACAGAGACCTCAGACCAGTGTGGCCCTTTGTGGTCTGGTGGGAATCACCCTTGATGTGTGCCAAGGAAAGCAGGTGCTGCTTGTGCCAAACACCCATCTCCTTTGGGCTGCAGCTACTTCCAATCTCTGCACATCCTTCTGGCAGCTCTCCTCAAGGCTAAGAAAAAGGCTGCTGCAACCTTGTTCCCAATTAGTTAAAACTTGCTCTAGTCCCGCTTTGAAACACAGCTTGCCAAAGGCTCTGAAGAGTCCTGATTTTTACAAAGAGGTGCAGTGAGGGGAGACATTGACCTGCTCCCAGGGAGCAGCAGAGCTGTGTGTGGCTCTTGATTCTCTCCTGAAGTATTACAAATTATACATCCATAAATCTGTACATTATAAATTAGGCTCATGACCTCTCCATGCAGGCTGCAACTCTCGCCCAAACTAACACATACCTAAATGCAGGAAGTGAAATTCAGTCTTAAAGAAAGAAACACAGGGCCCCATCATCACAGGGTTATACAGGTAAAAGGTAAAGCCCACAGAGGCTGGATCCCTGATGGGATTATGAAGTAGACAGGCTGTCAGCAAACATCACCCCCCTTACAGGCCCCAGGAAGCTGGAGAAGGGATGAGCATGCAAGAGCAGAGATGACTCAGACTGAGAGGGAGTCCTGGCTCCCTGCAGAGCTGATTGTTGGCACTACAAATCCACATCCAGAGAGAATTCCTCATCCACCAGGCAACTGTAGACAGGTGCTGCTGTCAAGCTCCAGATGTTTCCCATTAGCATTGGCTCAGGTGTGGGGTGGTTATAAATGGTCCAGGGCAGGAGAGAGGCTGTCTGTGGGGTATCTGGTGACTCCTTGGGCCACTCTCTGCTTTTACAGCTGTATGTAGCATGGAATTTTTCTCCCCTCTCTGGTTGAGAAATTTAATGTAGAAGTGAGTGAGTGGAGCTTGTGTGTGCTATTCTTTATTATGTGTTTCCTTGTGTGATGAGAGTAAGGGATGAAGGAGTTCTTTGGGAGATTTACTGGCAAAGGCAGTGGCTTCTGAGTTGTATCTGACTTATGCCAATGAGACAAAAAGCAAAAATCTCTTTTTACGTGAGCAGTAGCTGAATGGCTTTGTACCTGGTAATTCTGGGGTGCTCTTCATTAACCAATTCTGTCGAATTACACTGACCAAGGTTTCTGTGTATGTGGGATTGCAGAGTGTGGTGAGCAGAACTGATGCCCTTGATGAAGCGAGGAAGAAGATAGTTTATCTGTAAATAATGCTGTCTTTCTGTTCCTCTAACAAAACAGGCCAGTATCAGCTCTACCTGTTCTGTTCCATGTGCTAAGATGGGTGACTGGGACAACAACAATGAATTCATTCAGCGACTGGACTTTTCCAGTTGTGGTGAAGAGAGTGAAGAAAGAAGTATAAATGAGGAGGACTCCCTGAGCTTGAGCCCCCCAGGAAGCTCAGAGTTCCAGAAATGGCAAGAGAGCAGTCCTCTGCCAGCAACCCCTCAGAGAAAGCTTAGTGAGATTTTCCTGAGCAGAACAAAAGCTTGGATGAGTCCCACCCTGAAGTCTTCCCCATCTGTGAGCAAGAGCTGGAGTAAACCTGAGACACCACTGCACATCACCTGGAAAAAGCTGCAGCTTTGTGACACCCCACACACTCCTAAGGTAATGGCAGGTCTGTAGTACATCTGTAGGAGATAAATGTATCTCCCTTCAAGAAGCTTGTTGTTTGGGAGGAGCTTGGAGGTAGGCAGCTGCACTTGCTGCTCTGTTCAGCGCATTTTTGGATGCTAATGGATTTTGTTTTGAAAATTGGAATTGGTGTTAAGGCTGAGATGTCTACGTTGCCCGGCAAGACTGATCAGCTCCAACCAGCCTGTTTTCTGGTGCCACGGTGTTTCTTTTTGTGTGAAACAGTTGCTCAGTGAATCTGAGGAAAGCAGAAGTGTGTTCTCAGGGTAGCAAATCCTCTGTGGAAGGGGCAGCAAAACAATGTGTACTTGTGGAGGGAAGTTAGCCTCTCTTCTCCTGTGTCACTGTCCTAAAATGCAAGTTAGCACTGAGCCAGTTCCTTGGGAGAATGATGCCAGCCCCTGTTTTTTGTGTAACTTCTTGGAGAGAGTATAATTCAACTGCTTTTTGTCTCAAGTAAGCACAGGTGGAGACTTGGCACCAGCTCCTCTGTTCCTAGGTCATTTCTGGTGTATGCATGGCTCCAAGCAGTCCAGACCTGCAGTGAAGTGTAGTTGTTGGTTTTCTCTCAGTGTTCCTGCTCTACTGGTAGATTGTTTGCTCCTTTGCTTAAGTGGTACACAGGTGATCGGTGCTTTAATGGCTCTGAGCTAGGATTTGACTTCTGTCCTCCTCCAAAAAAATCTGATTATGTGGAGAGAAGGATGATCCTATGATTGACTGTGTGGCAATATTTACTGAGGAATGGCCTGCCACTCTCTACGTGAAAGCAGTCTAAAGGGCATCACTCAAAAATTTCCTGCAGTGACCCTTTATAAGAAATCTCCCTAAATCTCACCTTTACATATGTGAGTATGGAGTTAATTTTGTCCTAGTAACTGGTACTGCACTGTGATTTTGGGCTTAAGGACAGTGTTGCTAAGTAGCAACACTGAGTAGTGTTTACCCAAAGGCAATGACTTTTCAGTTTCCCATGTTCTGCCAGTGAGCAGAAGCACCAGCAGCTGTGTGGCTCCATATCCAGGACAGCTGCCAGGAACAAACCTGAGGAAAGCTCATTCCATAGAATGTCATGCTCAACATATAAACAAAAGGAAATTAGCCAGGAGGGGTTGATTAGGGCCCAGGGATGGGCTGGACATCAGTCAGCAGGTGGTGAGCAATTGTGAATCACTCATCTATCTTGGGGTTTTGTTTCTCTTTCCATAGTAATAATAATTATTATATTTTATTTTAATCATTAAATTGTTCTTTTCTCAACCTACAGGCTTTACCGTGCTTTTCCCTATTTCTGCTTCCCATCCCACTGAAGAAGGCAATGTAGTTGTGAGCAAAGGGCTCAAAAGCAGAGGGCTTAGTTGCTGGCTGGGGTTAAACCCCAAGAAATGAGTATAAAAGTCTTTTCCAGCCCAGATGGGCCACAGGTAGTGAAGGCTGCTTTCAGGGTGTGCATTGTGTAGATAACATGTTGGCTGGATGATTCTAAACATGCTGCTTGTATTTTGTTATGCCCATAAGCAGCAATTGCACGAAATCGACAATTCCTTTTCCTTTCTCTCCTGGGATAAAGGTCTTGTTTTTCAAGCATGCTGCAGAAGATGGGCTCAAAAGGGCTTAAATCTGCTTGTAGACAAATGTGGGAACATTGGCTTTAGAGCATTTGAAAGTGATAGAATGAGAGAGAAGAGCTCTGACTAAAACTGCAGACAGAGCATCAGATGTGAGTGGAGATGTGGCTCCAGGATCATAATAGCGATAACACTGTGGGATTGAAAAGATATTAGTACCTTAATCTTCAACAGGGAGACTTGTGTTCTTAAAGGGCTTTTAACTAGAAGAAACTACTATGTTAAATGATCCTTTAGGCCTTATACCACTATCATGAAGCTGAAACTAGTCAAAGCATATTTTTTATGGTTACTGGAGGAGTCAAATCAGAGTGAGTAGATTTGTCTTCAGCTTGAAACTGGTGTCTATGCTTTTCATGGCCCAAGGTTCTGGACTAGTGAGTGAAACACAGTGGCCTGTGTTCTGTGGCAAGGTGAACTACGGAAGATCCAAAGGTTCTTTCTGAACTTAAATTTCTGGTGCTCTTGTTTTTATTCATAAGGAGAAATGAATTCCTTTTGCTTTGCCATAGGAAAAAAAAAATAGAAAAAAATATTTCTATCAACTTCCCCTATCCTAATGCTGCTTAGTGCTAGAAAATCTGTCTGGTGTTCTAGCTCATCTCCTGACAAACCTGTCCTGACTGAACTGATGCAATGGTCTGTGCCTGGCAGAACTAGGTCTTCCATGTTAATGCAACATATGATGCAATTTCTACCTCTCTGTAGGAGGGAAAGTAGAGCAGCTGGCTCCTCTTGAGGTCTGTGATTGCCAAAATGGCACTGTAGGCCTCACCCCAGTGAGCAGAGAATAGAATATGAAAGGGCTTAACAAAGAATGGAATACTTTGTGGAAAATGAAAACTGTGGGGACTGAACTAGGGACACAGGGATTTAACGATTAAGCTATGCCAAGGAGTGGAGCTGAGTTCTCCTTGATTTATAGGAGAGCAAGAATTTTATTCTGAAATGGCAACAAAAAAAAGAGTCCTGATTTATTTGCCACCTATTTTTTCGTCTCTCAATACAGAGCTTGTTATCAAAGACAGCTTTTCCTTCATCTGCAACAAAGGTCCCAGCCAAAGGCCTCCGACATCTGAGATTCACTCCTCGTGCCGACTCTGATGACTCTTCTCAAGCTTCTCTTGTCAACATTAATCCCTTTACACCAGAGTCCTATCGACAAATGCTCTTTCAGCCTAATGGCAAACGGAAGGCTGGAGGAGAGCTGTGAGTTACTCTTAGGCAGCAGACTGGGCTTATTTGCATATTATTACTTATCTGGACTTATTTGCTAACAATGAATCATCTCCTTCTGTAGTATTCATTGGTGTAGAGTAAATGTTAGCAGATGTATAAAGGTAACAGAAATAGAAATAAAAATCAATTTTTGTCTCTGTTCAGAAAGGTGAGTGGGGGATCAGCAGCTCTCTTTAGTGCTATGGCTGCAGCTTCACCAGTAATGAGGAGGCCAGGAGAATGATGCTTCTGGACAATGCCACCCTGTCCTATGGGCAGTACTAAAATTGCTTTGGGGAGGCCTGCTAAAGGGAAACAAAGATTTCCTAACATGGGACTGCAGTCTTTAAGACCTCAACTAAAAACTTGCTTATCAACTCTATAAAATACATTATTAGGCTGTGAAGCAAGGCTTGGAGGTTCCTTTGAAAGATGTTTTCATTTCAAACCCAGTTGGATTTCTGCACTGAAATGCTACAACAGACTTTCCCAATCTTCTGTTCTAGGAATGGTCCTCATCCAGGAAGCCAGATTAAACAGGAGCAACCTACAAAGGTGAGTGTCTGTACACTTCCCTCCCAAAGAGTCAATAAGATGTTTGTAAAAGCTTGGTGTTCGATGGAATTTGTTATTGAGTATAAACCATGGCCTCGTGCCAGAGGATGAATACCTAGGACAGAAAAGGTCTAAGATGAATGTTTTGTTAACATTTGTTTGAGATGACAAACTTGGAAAAGGTGGAATTGTTCCCTGTAATTGCAATAGCCAGGCTTACGGAAGGATAACGGTACCCTCTAGCCGAGGAGACTGGGATTGCAGGCTAGCGGTCTCCATGGAAAAACTACACCTGCAGAGCAAATCTGCTACCGGGCAACATCCGGGGCTGCCACAATTATTGTTTTACTTAGAAGAAAGCCTCAAGTAACTTGTGAATTACTGAACTATTATTCTGCTTGAGTGCTAATGAGATTGAGTATGTAATATAGGTATAAAATTGTGAACTAGGAGGTATTTTTACTGCCAAGCTTCCTAAAATAGTGTAAAACACAGCTGCCTTATGAAATGTAACATGTTGGGAAGGGCTGCTGTTTCATGTGAGCCACATTTTCCTGACTGTGAGGAGCAACTCTTACCTCCTCCTCTGTACCATAAACTACAGCAATCGCAGCAGTGGCTTGTGAAAACCACTGTGCAACATGAGCTGCTGTCCCTGTAAGGGATGGAGAAAAATCACTTAGTCCACCCTTGTTGTTCCCTTCATGCTCCAGTGCTTATCTTTTCTTTACTTATTTTCCCTGCCAGTATGCATCACTCTCCCAGCAGTACCAGCAGTTCCTAGATCCCTAGTGGCCATTATTGTAGCAATAATTATGTTCCAACAGTTCTGCCAGCTTCCAGCCCTTAGTGGAAAAGTGTCTCTGGGTGAGATATCAGTGGGAATACAAACAAATACACTGAGACCAGCTAATCTACCATTAGCCAACAGCTGGTGCTTCAAACCTGCAGAGCCTGAGCTGATACAGAATGGCCTTGGCTGCAGGCAACCTCAGCTGCCAGGGTAAACACACACAGCTGGGGTTGCATGAAGCCAACACACCAAGCTCCTCTCCTGAGCTTCAAATAGGCAATAGATCTAAGGTCTTCTCAGGTCCTGTCTTTAGGCCAGTAATTTGTTGCTTGCTGTTCATCCCTGCCTGACTCCATCAGCTGTGGGTCTAGGAATTTGTCTGGGTTGTCAGGAGAAGGGATGCGATGGCAGTAACCCAAGGAAGCTTAGGCATATACAGCCAACTAGACTAAATTTCTCCTTAACTACAATTTCTACCTCTATAGCTAACAAGTCCTGATTATATAAAACCAACCAAACAGCCTTGCAACTTGGCCAAACCAGAGAAGGTAGCCTTAAAGTGGTCAGAAAAAACACAAGTGAAAGGTAATTTCAAGAACTGGCCAAGTACCTGCACACAGGCCTGGATGAACACCCAGAATAGGAGAGGGAGCAATGTGGAGCAAGTGTTGCACACCTCTAGAACACTGACAGCTATAAAGTCTTTCAACTCCTATTTGTCTTTGCTGTTTTTGTGACTTTGCAGAGATATACTCTGAAAGCGAGCAATATGGTTTCCCGCTACAAGAAGGAGTTCCTGGAGCTAGAAAAAATTGGTGTGGGGGAATTTGGCTCTGTCTACAAGTGCATCAAGCGCCTTGATGGATGTGTTTATGCCATCAAACGCTCCAAAAGGCCTCTGGCAGGATCCTCAGATGAGTGAGTGTGCTTGTTGGAAACTGACAGTTGAAATGATGGGCATGTTCTTGAGAGGTGTGATGGGAAGGAGGGAGTGTGGATCTAAAAGTATCTGATGGGGTGGCATGAGCAAAAATTGGCTATTGCTGCACTTTTAAGTAACAGCTGGGAGCGTGGGGGAAGATACCATGATACAACTATTGTATATAAATGTCTAGGGAAAGAAGTCACATGCACTGGAAAGTGAGAGGATGGAATACCTGAACACCTTGGGTCCATCCAGACAATTTCTTTACAATAACTGTCAGGAAGTTTATTTGACAGACATACTGCTGTCCCTGCCTTGTGCTGTATGGCCAGCACCACTCTTATCTGTATTGACCTGCTTGTGGTGTCTTGTATGCTAAAGCAAAGTCTTTGAAGCTGTTGCCTTTGCCTCTTTAACAAAAAACTTGTTTAGTAATTATTTTCTTTAACAGCTGCTCAGAGCATTTGAGCAAGGGCAGGTTTTGCCTCAGCAGCTGTGAGAGCCAGTCTGTCTGTCAAAACCTGAGAGCAAGGGGGAACAGAGGGGCTCAGGAGTTTCAGGCTGCAAAGCAGGGCTCCTCTCCTGTGCTGAGCAGCCTCTGGCAGTCTGTCACCTCAGCTTTTTCCATGTGTGCTTCCTTAGGCAGCTGGCACTGCGAGAGGTTTATGCTCACGCTGTCCTGGGACACCACCCCCACGTTGTGCGCTACTACTCGGCCTGGGCAGAGGATGATCACATGATTATCCAGAATGAGCACTGCAATGGTAAGAGCTGGACAGCATTCAAGCTGAGATCAAGCATGGGCAAAGTTGCCTTCTTTTGTACTTAAATGTGGGTGTTTTGGCTTACAAGAAAGCAAACTGCCCTGGGGCTGCATTTCTGTGGAGAATCCAGTAAGGGTGTATAATAAATATTTAGATGAAGCTCTGAGTGGTGCTAATGTTTTAGAAGCAGTGAATACCCTCATATTTCTGGGATTTGAAAACTGCTTCTGTGCTTTAGCTGGCCTGCAAAAGCATTCCCCATTCTGATGATTAGGGCTGTGCTGGGGTTGTCCAGGTGACACCTGATATGAGTGACTCAAGAGCTACTGACTTTAAGGGCCATGTATCTTGGCAAAACCTCCTCTTACTGGAGGTGGGTAGTGACTGGTTGGATGAAGGCATCTTGCACCCTGACTAGAAGAAAGAGGTTTACAGCTGCAGAGGAATAGAGTAAATGATGAGGCAAAGTATAAATGGGGTGCTGCAGGCAGTGTGGTAAACTCCTACTGGAGTTTGCCCTTGGCAATACCACTGCTTGAGAGAAATTGGAAAAGCTACCTTTGGCTACGAGAGTTGCTGAAGGCAAATATGTAATGTTCATCTTTTGACTGCACCTGTAGTCTTGGGGCTTAATGAAGAGTGGTGACAGCTGTTTGGAGTACTGCTTCCAAATCTAGTGGAGGCAACCACAAAATGTGGTGCTCATTGCTGCAGCATTGATGTATTTCTTGTGTTCTGGTGGCTGAATATCTGAGGCTAAAAGAGAGGTGGTGAAAAATAAGCTTGGAGATGGAGACAAAGGCTGATACCTTCTAGCTCTGAAATATCCAAAGTGTCTTGATGCAGACCCACAAAACTGTTGAATGTTAATGCTTTTCAGTCAAAAATCTGCTATTGGGAGCTCAATTTCCTTGTTCGACCATTCTTATACCTGCTTTCTGCATCTAAGCACAGCAGAAGCAGTTAATTTTTCTGTTGTTCACTAGCAGCAGCACCAGCATCATTAACAGGTCAGCCCTCCTGGCAGGATGTAGAGCGGTAGGTTGGAGGTAGAACTGCAGTTGTTCTTCTGTGTTGAGCAGCAGGCTGGGCATTCCAGGGCAGTGGGAAGGCTGAAGCCAAATGGTGGCTATCACTAGAGCACACAGAGCTGCTGTGGTTGGGGTTTGTCACTAGCAAGCTTCCAAGTGTTCTGGGCAGCTAAGCTGTTTCAAACATGCTGTTCCAAAAAATCTGTGTCAGGTCTCAGACTGACTGTGTTCTCCTAGGTGGGAGTCTCCAGGATGTGCTGCTGGAAAATGCAAAGCTTGGGCAGTATTTCACAGAAGGAGAGCTGAAGGAAATATTGCTGCAAGTCTCCATGGGACTAAAATACATCCACAACTCTGGCCTTGTGCACCTGGATATCAAACCTAGTAAGTATAGTGTCCTCCTCCTTTGTGGAGGGTTTTCCTAGTGAACCCTCAGGGGCAGAGCCTGAAATAAATCCTTTTGAGTTGGACTGATTGTAGTGCTTCAAAGAAAAGAAGACCTTCCCCTTGTCTTGTGTATGTTGTTCTTTTTTTTTATTTGTGCCACTATGCTGCTCTAAAATTGAGCCTTCTCTGATAGTTGGCAGCATTTTACTCCTGTCTCATGACCTTTGTAATCCTAGCTTGTAGGAATCACCTTCATACTGATGGAGCAAGCAGGGCTCCCAGGGAAGATGGGGACTTCCTCATTTACTGCTGTCTTGTTGCACAACACTTGGCTTTTGTGTGTTTATCCACCTTGTGGGGATTGAGTTCCTGCAAAAATAGTAATGAAGTTTCCTCTCTGCAGCTCAGGATGGCCACCTCCAAGGCAATGCTTCCCCTTTGTCACATACATAATATTCTTAGAGGGGAGCTCCTTTTTCCTGCTGAAATGATGCTTCTCCCTTAGAGGGCAGAGGGAGGGGAAAGCTGATTTCACTAGGATATTTTATGCACAAGATACGACTGTCTTATGCCAGCTGTGTGGCTGACTGTGAGCTGGGCAGAAGGCTGACTACGGGGTGGGAAGCATGTGCATCATTTCTCTGGCTGCAAAGTTTAACTACTTTGACAGGTGGGATTTTGACAAAGTTGTTAGGCTGCTGCAGCCTGACTACCGGCATCATGCTGTTGCTAAACTTCTCTGTCTTGCAGGTAATATCTTCATCTGTCACAAGCTGGCAGTTTCAGGGCCTGCTGGGCAGGAGGAGAGTGACAGTGAAGATGAATTCTCTCCTGGTGTGGTGTATAAGATTGGTAGGTTTTAGCCTACTTTACAGCTGGCCTAAGATTAGGGCTGCCCATTACTGCCTGAGAGTGCTGTGCCTTATGGCTGAAGAGACTTGCACACAAAACTGATAGGATAGTCAGGAATGCTCCAATTGCTCACCAGAATTAATTCCTCTAAGAAGATAAGTCACAGAGAATTCATGTGCTTGTTCACAAGTGCAGATTCCTGAGTTAGGAGCAGGCTTGCTCTCTTGCTCTGTATTTCGTTGTTGGTGCCTATAAAATGCAGGCTTTCATTGGAGAATGACTTCAGTTTGCTTGATTACATTTCAGTTGCTTGTTCTTTGTCTCAGGTGACCTTGGACATGTGACATCAATAACAAACCCTCAGGTGGAGGAAGGAGACAGACGCTTTTTGGCCAATGAGATTTTGCAAGAGGTACAACTGCTAGAGCAGGGCGGTGGGGAGAACAGGGTGGGAGAGCAAGTGGGGAGAGATCAGCTGTAGAGCAGTCATTAGTCTAACTTTTTCCTCACCTTATCTCCTCTTTCTTCTGTTGGGTCTGGCTGTGAAATCTGTGAAATTAGCACTTTATCATGAACAATAGTGGTGTGGGTCTTATCCTGTAAATGCTTGCTTAATATGTAAATACTTCCTAAGTAACTATTATTGGATTATTGCAACTATTCCCTTTAAGGGATCAGTGAGACAAAAACTTTATCAGCTTGAAGACATTTGATTTGCATGTCCAGCTGAGATGAAACTGAGATGATGTGATTATTGAGGAATATATTTACCCAAACAGATGCCTCTTAAAACAAACACTGAGCAAGTAGTGGAAAGAGGTGGGAGGCACAGCAAGCCTCTTAAACTGACTGCAGTTTTGTCACTCTGGCCAACAAATGGAAAGGGAATTGGAATTGAACAACCAACTTGGATGTGTTGTTCAGGTATTTAAGGGACAGTACCTGTGCTGCAAGTGAATTTAGGAACTGTTGGGCCAATGTATCAGATGCATCCTTTGGTTTGAGCTGGGCATGGCTAGCTTACTGCCTTGTGATGGAGGCTGGAGGTACACATCTGTTAGGCCATCCTCTGGAGTTACTGCAGTGATCTCAACATGGCCTGCAAGGTCCTCATGGCTGGGTGACAGCCAATGGTGTTGGTTAGTGGTACTGCCTGCTGCCTATGTTTTCATCCTGAAGAGGAGAAACCAGCTCACTGGGGTGGTGAAGGCAGTGCCATATGCACACACTTGCTTGGCTGTTTCTTTTTGAGCTCCTACCCCAACTCACCTTTGCTTGGTGTAGCAAGATGTTCCTTTCTAACACCTTTCCCTTCTCTCTGCAGCAATACTGCTACTTGCCCAAGGCAGACATCTTTGCCCTGGCACTCACGGTGGCTCTGGCAGCTGGGACAGCACCGCTGCCTCACAACGGGGCCCTGTGGCACCACATCCGCCAAGGCAATGTCCCACCCATCCCCCAGAAGCTTCCCCACCGTTTTCTTGAGCTCCTTAAGGTGAGGAAGTAGTCTTGACATGATGGTGGCTTTTGCAGCTGGCATGTGACAGGAATGCTAAACTCTGAACTCCTTTGCCTTCTAGCTCATGATCCATCCTGATCCAGCGCAAAGACCTTCTGCCACAGCTCTCACCAAACACCCTGTTCTCCGTCCTTCATGTGGAAAAGCTGTCCAGCTCCAGGAGCAGCTAAATATGGAGAAATGCAAGACTGCCATGCTGGAAAGGTAGGCCTGGCTTGGACATGGATGGGAAAGGTCGTGGGCATGACCATGCTGGTCACCAGCTTTAAATGGAGGGTGGTAGTGCTGGGAGAATGCATGTACAGGAATTCCCAGCCAGTTCCCATGCCTTGGAGCTGGGGGGATGATGGGGATGTAAAACAGGGACTTGCAGTGCCCAGGCAGCAGCTATGCTTCAGCTCTGGCTTAGAGGAGCTGGCTGAGTTACAACAGCAGACTTGTGTGCTTCCTGCAGCCACTGGTGATACAACCTGCAGCCAGTGGGCAGATGAGGAATTAATAATGCACTGAGATAGTGGGCTAAGCATAGAAGGAAAAGAAATATTGGGTGGTGACAGATATCCTTTTTCCCCCTTGTTTCCTCTCACTGCTGTTGGCAGTAGCGTTTTGGGGACTGGGATCCAAGAACTGCCCACTAAGTGCAGTATTCAGCTGAGGAGTAGGTTTTCTGTGTAGACAGAAGAGTGAATGCTCTGGAAGAACAGTAAGTACCAGAAAGGAAAGAAGGGCAATGGAAAATAAGCCTCTGCCTTTGTTTAGGTATTATATATGTATGAGATGATACTGATCTAAATTTCAGCATTCATAACTGTCTGAAACAATGGAGAAAAACTGAGCTAGGTGTTCCTCATACTGGTGCCAGTGTGTTGCTGACATGATACATAGTTTTCTTCTGGTAAATCTTCAGAGCTCCTACCTTTTCAAACAAACTCTAGAGACAGCTACAGTAATCTTCATTGTTACCCTCTGGGCTGAGAAGTTTCCCCCTTCCAGCAGTGCTGGAGTATTACAGTAACCCTCTTGTGCAAGATTGTTAATAGTTTGCTTCTGTAGCTGATGGGGATTCGTGCATGACATGGTTTTCTTCCTTTCCTCTTCCTTCCGTTTCCCCCCTGCAGGGAACTTAAAGCAGCTCGCCTTGCCCAGACCCTCATGAAGGACCAAGCCTTAGGAAGTGCCAAGTTACAAGAGTCTGAAACCTCTTCTAAGCAGAAGAGCAAGCGTCTGGTGGGAGGGAAGAGCTGTCGCTCGTTTAGCTTTACTCTGGGTTTCTGAATTTTTGTGTTGTTCAAAGACTGCTGAATGGCCCTGTGAAAGCAGAGGGTCTGCACAGACCAATGCCCCATATTCTCTCCCTGTCTTTTTTTTTTTTCTTTTGTTCCCCTGTTAGTTATGATGAGATGTTGGCCAAGAAAAGAATGACTGGCTTTCAAATGTTGGATAATGGTATTTAAGGTTGTCTTCAGTCTTCTACCTTTCTAATTTCTTGTGTAATTGGCCTTGCTATAGACTCAGTGTAACTCTGCTGTGACAAAAGAATGGCATTTTCTCTACTCACTTCCCTCTTTCTTCAGTTGGGCCCTGTTATTGGTGATTTTGTGGTCTTAACACTTGGGCTGACTGTATCTATAGAGGGATGATAATGGCTGTACAGGCAGACAGCATCTACAGCTGGCCCCTTCTAGGAGCAAGTAGGCAGAGGCTATGGCAGCCAGTTTTAGCTACACATCAAGAGCCAGGCTGATAACACAGCTGTCCTGGGGGGCTCGGGATGCAGCTGGAGTGGCATTTCACTGAGGGGGGACACAGAGTATTAGGAAATACTTTGAGTTAAGGAGTGGGAGTTGAAGAAAAACATTCTTTCACATTTCAGCAACAAAACTTTTGTAACTGGGTGTGATTTAACAGACTAGTTAGTCCCTGCTGCCCGACTCGTTTTCTGTCAATCGGGGAGGACTCCTTGTTTATGTGGGGGAGATAACTGCAGTGTGTTGGTGCTGGGTCTGTCTGTACCCATTTCCCCACCAGTATCTCACATGTGGTGCAGTTAGAAAGGGCTTTTTCAGCTCTTTGGAGTTGCCCATGTTAACGGTGATAGGTATTTCGTATTTGAGATCTCATACACCCTTCCTCCTCTCCCCGCCAAATGTAACTTTGGGGATCCTTGTCGCTTGTTTGTGTTGGTTGGACAGAGCGCTGCCCTGCTATGAGGCAGCGCTTGGTAACTCGCTTATTTCCAGGTTTTACTGGTTTGTTTTATGCTGTTGCACATGCTGGCTTTTAACCGCTAGATCCTGTCGTTTCGTGCGAATAAAGATTTTATTATTTTTTAAACCGACGATGGAGTGATGGAGTTGTGTTGGTTATTTTTTCCCCCTCCGCGAGCCCCGTGTCCCGGGCTCGTTTCCGCCGGGAACCGCCCGCCCGGCCCTTTCCTGTTCCGGCCGGCCGCGGGCGCAGCGCGGCGGCGGGAGCGGCGCGGAAGGCGCGGGGCTGTGCCGGCGGTCCGTGGGGCGCTGCTTCAGCCCCGCTTTTCCCTCCGCAGGCTCGGCGGCAGCATGTGGCGGCGACCGGCGTGGCAGGTAGGGCCGTGCGGGGCTGCGGCGGCCCGGTGCCCTCGGGGCGCTGGGGGAGCGGCAGCTCCAGCCCCGCCGAGAGGCTGGAGCGACTCTCCGGACGCGGAACTGCGCTCGGCGCTGCCCCGGGAAGGGGAGGGGCGCACAGAGCCGAGCGCCCCGCAGCCCTCGCCCGGCCGTGCCCGCCGGCCCCGGGGCTGCTCTTCGGGAAAAAGAATATGAGCTCTGGAACAGCTTGTTCTAGGAAATGAGCCTTTTATCCAATTCCTGCGCATGGACCTCTAGCTGAAGCGTTTCTGAGCTTTCCCCCCCGCGCTGCTTTCTTCTAGGGTGGAGTATTTGTTAGAAAAATGGCAGTTCCTCTACAGCTTTCCCACTTGCAGTACTAAGAATTTTGAGTCCTAGATTTGCCTTGGGAACAAGGGTGTCAGTGCATCCATTGCTAATTCCAGTGGATGGATGTGCTTTCTGGGTACACCTGGTTAATCTCTGAAACGAAGCAGAACCATCAGACCTGTTTGTTTCCAAAGAATAAAGCTCAAACTAAACACGTATTCTCCTATGAACCTCCTCCCCTCTTATGTATTACAGAAAAACAGTAGTTATTGCATGTCCCAAAAATAATTGCTGGAGGTATACCTTTGGGCCACACTTCTTTCTAGGCAACTCTTTAACCTTGATTTAACCAGGTACTCTTTAAGTAACCTTACTAGCTACATTTGGCTGAACAGATTTCTTTCCTCAGGTCCCCCATTAGTTACCTGGGAATGAACATACTTGCAGAACCTCTGCAAGTGTTCAGAAAATAAGGTGTAAAGGCTTGTGAATGCTGTTTGTAGTTTGTGTCTTGGAAACTCATCTTTCTCTGTTCCTTCAGGTGCTACGCCAGTTTGTAAGACATGAATCTGATACGGTTAACTCATTAGTACTTGAAAGATGTAAGTACCTCCTGAGATGCAATTTAGTTGTTACTCATTGTGTTTATCTTAGTGTTGGAATGTCTGAAATAGGGCAAGAGAGAAGCAGGTAGGAATAGTAGCTCCTCAGTGTAGCACCTAAGAATGTGTTGTTTCAAGCACACATAGTCTTGAGTGGCTTCCTGTCTGGTCCCTGTCAGGTGAAGCAGCACTTTAGGGGGAAAAGAAGAAAGCCCTGAGAAGGATTGTCACTCTATAGGGCAGTTGTGCTTTATCTGTGGTGGTGGTTTGGGTCTGCTGTTGGCATGGTTTCTAACACCTGCCTTCAGGTGCCTTGTGTGCTTGTTTCTCAGACCCCTGGGGCACTTCTGTGTGTGTGTGTGTGCGCTGCTGCCCAGCAGCACGTGCTCCAGGTTTACTTCAGCCTTCACTATTCACTTGACATGCTCATTGTGTACAAGAGATACTTGTCCCTGACCTCTTCCAGTTGTCCTTGAACATGGAGAGGGATAGACTGTGTCTGCCTAGGCCCAGTAATGGTGTAAAAACTGACCTTTTCAGAGGATGGAGTATAGTAATGCAACTTTGATTCAAAGGTACTGCTGTGCATTGTGTTTCAGCATTATGAAACAAAAGTCAAGATAAATGCAGATTAGTCTCAAGTGATACATGGATGTGTCTGTGAAAGAGATAAAATGGTACAGAAAGAATAAAGAACCTTTGTCTTTTTAAATCAGTTAGTTCACAGTGATAATGACAGTACAGACACAGTCAACCATCTGCTGGGGTCTGAAAAAGCCAAGTGTCACAAGAGCTTAAAAAGTGCTCAGGAGGTGCAGAAAGGTGTGATCCTGGCCCTTGAGAAAAGCTGCTGACTATGGTTTGCCATGCTTAGAAGCTTATGCATCATAATTTATCTGTCTGTTTGGTGTCTCTTGTTTCAGCCATGAATCGTGTTCAGCTGCTTGGTCGGGTTGGACAGGACCCTATCATGAGGCAAGTGGAAGGAAAAAATCCTGTTACCATATTTTCCCTTGCAACCAATGAGATGTGGCGGACAGGAGATAGTGAAGTGAGCCAGGGAGGTGAGTCTGCACGAGCACCATGTCCCAGGTCACGGCTGCATGGCCAGCAGCAGCACAATTGCAAATCTCTGGGGTGCAGGAAGGTTCCTTTGAGGTCAGCAGAGATGCTGGTGTATCTGTGTGTCTTTTACTGATCTTCAGCAGCAAATACTGAAGAGGGATCTGCTGTTGACCTTCCTCAAGAGGAGAGGAGAGTGTGCTGGGTGGGCAGTTTGTCACTGGTGGGGTTTGTCAGAGGCATGGCAGCTTCTGTACTCTTGTATTTCAGGATGAGAAAAATGAAGAGAAGATTATTCTCATTGATTCTGTCATTTCATGAAACTGCCATCAGTTTGCATCTGCAGCTATCTCATTCTCTAGATTCTATTCAGTATAGAGTGTCGGAGGGGGGGGAAATGTTAATAGCATGAGCACTGCCTTATGGAAAAAGCAATGTCTTGGTTTGAACTGGGCTTCTGCACAAGAATTTGTTTGGACATGGATGACTGGAACTTCTAGTTCTGGGTTAAGTGGGAGATCACTTTTCATAATTTGAGAAAACCAATGTGTTGAAACTAATTTCTGAGTCTTGTATCACAAAGAGGATTTCCATCCAGCTCTGTTACTTCTATGTACCTTAGGTGATATTAGTCAGAAGACGACATGGCACAGGATCTCTGTCTTCAGACCAGGCCTCAGGGATGTCACCTATCAGTATGTCAGGAAGGGGTAAGTGAATAACACATGTGGCTGAGGATTTAATGCCTTAATAATGGATTACTGTAATAATGATGGTGACCAGGAACTATAGTAAGATGCAGGTGCCATAAAACAAGTTAGCAGAGCAGCTACAAAGAACTGATACAAAAGCCTGTGTACTTTGAATCAGATTCTGAATTCAGCCTTTTCATCAAGGAAGTGTAGTGATAAGACAAAGAGTTACAGGCTCCAAGTGAAAGAGGGGAAATTTAGGTTGGATATATGGATGTAAACCTTACTGTCAAGGTAGTGAGGCCCTGGCACAGGTTGTCCAGAGAAGCTGTGGATGCTCCATCCCTGAAGTGTTAAAAGTTAGGCTGGATGGGGCTTTGAGCAGCCTGATCTAGTGGGTGGTATTCCTGCCCATGGCTAGGGGTTTGGCACACATGGTCTTAAGTATCCCATTTTAATCCAAACTGTTGTATTATTACAGATTGGAAAACAGCCACACAGGTCTCTGACCAAAATCAAATTCTTGTTTTTTTTCAGCTCTCGAATCTTTGTAGAAGGGAAGATAGATTATGGTGAATATACAGATAAAAACAATGTAAGGCGACAGGCCACAACAATTATAGCAGGTAAGGAGCAAAGCAGGCAAGGTGCCCTTTGCCCTTTTTAAAATTAAAAGAGTGTGGAGGACCTCTGAAATGAAGTTTGGTTAGTCTTCATCCTCACTATCTACACTCAGGGATTTTGAGAGAATGGATAGTGTGTACCAGATTTCCTCTAGCACTGCTTGTGAACTCAGAGAGTATCCAGTTGCAAACTGTTGGTGTCATTTGCTTACCCCACAGAATGGATAAGGAGTAGACTTGTGCCTTGTGTTGACACAACAAAGAAAACTAGGAAGCTCAATTTTTTCCTTGAGCCTTTAAATAGCCTGAGCATCCTGCAGCATCCTTATTGTAGATAGAGCTGGTCCTGTGTTGCTTTTGAGTGAGGGATAAATTAATTGGGTA